ATAGCAATCTGCCACCAGCGTAATTTAGCTGAAGACCCCAAGCCTAAGAGCCTTAGTTTTCTCTATAGCCAGGGGAGAATGACTGTATTTTGATCAGCAATTCAGACCTTCTGCAAGCCCCACTGCCCTCGGGAGATCCCTGCCTCTTTCCAGGGTCTCCAAATGCCCTTGAGGATTCCAATTTATGTGCCTTGTTTGAGCACCTGATGTAGCAGGAGAAATCCAAGTCATTACTTCTGTATTTTTGGAGCGTTACAAGTGGAAACAGAGGCAGGAGTTGGGCAAAATAAGTTATTTTTGTTTGAAGTTAATATCTGAAGTTTCAAAGAAAGAATATGCCTTTGTGAGCCATCAGAGTCGATAGAAGGGACTGCTTTGTTCTTTCAGTTGTACTTCAAAGGAAAACTTCTGCTATTTTTTAACCCAAAATCTCTGCACTATTATCAATAGAAAACCCATCACGAGCCATTGATTTCTAAGCATCATTGATATTTAACTTATCTTCTACTGCCTTTTATTTCAAATATTTCCGTATGGGAATAGGAAGAGGAAGTAAATTATCACTGAAGGAGAAAATATGTTGCCTGTAGTCAGGGATAAGCTAGATAAGACTAGAGTGTACATGACATGTTCCAGCTCTAGAGAGCCCTCCAAATAGTAACTAACATCTCTTTGCTATTTAAGCCTTCAGAGAATTGTGAATTTTAGCCTTGTTTATTCCTTCTCACTGGCATTCATATGCACTTGATTCCTATTAGCAGGAGATTTTTGCTGATTTACACCTGCTGAGGATCTGCTGTCCTTTGATAATTGGCCACGTGGGTGAATGAATACCCAAATTTTGTCTGAACATCAAATATCCGCATGCATAAATTGTTAAACTGACACATTTTTCCTCCTGTATAGCATATAATTTAATCCATTATTGCTGCCACCTTTAAAGACTGCATATGCCTGAAAGCAGAAAATTAAATAACTGTTTGCCATTAATACAAATTATTGTGTTTTGACAGCTTGCTAATCAAGTAAAGTAAAAATGGTGCTGTACAAATATGTGCAATTGCCTTTTAAGGAACTTTTTTCCTTCTGCATGAGGATTCACCTTGCCTGGACCTTTGAACCCTTCTAGGATTTGTCTTCTGTGATATGTTAATATTGAGCAGCATTATTAAAATAGAGTTTTATTTGAGTTGTTCATTGATGCAGAATGCATTTCCCAGCATAGTTACTCCCTGTATAATCTTGGGAAACATCCAGCCACATGCCAGTTGTAGACATTACTTCCAGTACGGACTATATTAATTAATATGCAAATGAGCGGTTTCATATTGAGCTGTTTTGACATAATGTTACATATTCTGTGCAAAATTCAGGTATGGGCTGTTTCTGGGGAGCCGAGAGGAAGTTTTGGAGGCAGAAGGGAGTCTACTCCACTCAAGTGGGCTATGCAGGAGGATACACCCCAAATCCTACCTACAAAGAAGTGTGCTCGGGTAAGTCTCTCACTTCGCTTTTTAAGCTTTATGATTAAAATCTTGCTGATTATGAACAACATTGAATTAACTGTAGTAACTATAGAGACTGGGCATATACACTAAAATTACCTTGCATTCTAAACTGTCTATGGTATCTTCATTCCATTGTCATCTCCTACTAATTGTGGATTTAACGTATGCACAAAGGTTCTGGGGAAAATTCAAAAATATAGGGTATTTCTGTATTCTTTGCCTATTGTATTGTTATATACATCCTCTGGAAAATGGATTCTCTTTCAACTTATGCAAATGTGTTTTTTATAAAAACACCTCCAATCACCCACTACAATTTCTTTCTGCAATCTAACGTAGAACCACTGGCAGCCAACTGACTAATGTTTCAGTTAAAGCAAATTTGTTCTTTCCTCTGCTCACTGGTGGAGAGCAGCTTGGAGGTTTCCTTTTTGTTTATTCTCTTGTTAACACTTTCCATGCCCACTGCTGAAGTTGCTGCAGCATTTTCCCTGAAAGTTTGTCACTTAGGGTTGGGACCAGGTGTGTAAAATGTTCAGCAAACAAATCATGGATACTTCAGCAACTGTGGGTAAGTGCTGCAAGGCACCCAGAGACACAGAAACTTGAATATAGCAAAAACCCAGTGCAACCCCTGCTCCAGCAGGGACACCCAGAGCACGGGGCACAGGGGGCATCCAGGCGGGTTGGACATCTCCAGAGAAGGAGCCTCCACAGCCTCTCTGGGCAGCCTGTGCCAGGGCTCGGGCACCCTCACACCAAGGAAGTTCTTCCTCACATGGACATGGAGCTGCCTGGGGTTCAGCTTGGACCCGTTACCCCTTGTCCTGTCACCGGCCACCACCGAGCAGAGCCTGGCCCCATCCTCCCTACATTCTCCCCTCAGCTACTTGTCCATGTTGCTCAGATCCCTCTCAGCCTTCTCTTCTCCAGGCTGAACAGGCCCAGTCTTTCCTTATAAGATTCACCTAGTTCAACCCTCCTGCTCAAGCAAGGACACCCAGAGCATGTGGCACAGGGTTGCATCCAGGTGAGAAATCATCTTAATCAACTTTGTTTCTCTAATAAAAGTACATAGATTTAATCAGAATTTCCTATGGTAACTCTTAGTAATATGCATATTCTCATATGTAAATACTTAGTGCAGCTAGAGTTTCAAAACATGTCAGACAAAATAAAGAGCATCATGCCTTTAGGCTTCACTGATTTATAGATACTTATAGCTCCTGGAAAGCAGATAACAAGGAGAGGTCTCAGCAGTGGGTGGATCAGAGATGCCTGTTGTATTTGCTGAACAGATCCATACTTCCTACTGCTTCTGCACTCTTACACTGTGAGTTGGATTCATCATTTCCCTGCAATGCCTGTGTAGCATTTTTATGATTATATGTAGTCTCATGCCTATCTAGCAATTTTTGTGTCTCTGTTTCACGGCCTGAGCATTAAATAATTAGATTGTTTATATAGGATAGAGATGCCCTGTACAATTTCTCTTTCCTGATGAACTCCTAGTTCAAGTAGACTGGGTTGTGCTGGAATATTGAGCATGTCTCTGCAGATAGTGCTGGCAGTTGGCCAAGAGGAGATGTGAACAGAGGATAAGGTATGACCAGGGAAGCAGAAAAAAGGTACTGGCCCTTAATTCAGTGCAATGTAGGCTAGAAGGGGTCCGTGTTATCATGCACTTTGCATTTGACTGAGATACTTTAAGAGCTTTTTGAAGCTTTTTGCACATGGCATTTCACAAATAGTTAACAATAAGTAGCAATTAAACAGGAATTATTTCCTTCCCGATTTAATGTTGTTTAGCTGGAACAAAAAAAATGGGAAAAATCTTTGAACTCTTACTAGTTGTTCAGTTAGATGTGTAGTGCAAAAACGTAGCTGAGGTTATTTTAATAGTACTTATTTTTATGCACATTTGCATTGTGGATGTTTATAGACCTCCAGTTACTGGACAATGGAGGATATTTTTTTGCCCAGAGATATCCAGAAGGATAAGCACGTACTTCATAACTTGTTGGTGTGAACATAAATGGGATGTGTATGCATTACACATTTCTTTTCTTAGCTGTGCAGCTGAGCTGAATTGGAGGCTATACCGATTTCTGCATGCTAATTTTTCTTCTTCCTTAGCTGATTCTTCTGTTTTTATTCTGACTTTTTTTTGCAGCAGAATTATTTTCCTTTTCGAAGATACTTTTTATAAGTCTCCTTAGGGAGAGTTCTCTCAAGCTGCCCTCAGATATTGCCATCTGGCTCCTCCTGACTGCCATAGTTTTCATTGGGAAGAATGGTATTTATGAAATCAGTGGAATTCTGTTAAGTCTCCAATTTCTTCATCTGTTATGGCAGACCAAATACTTAATGGACATTTTCTTTAAATACGGCTCTAGAAGGGACATTGGTGCCACCTAAGCAGTATCCTCTGGGCTAGTCTTTGAGCTCTGCTTTCAGCCTGTGCAGTCATGAGAAATCTGTTCTGCAGGATTATTTTAGTCTATCACCTTCCAGGCACTCTGTTCTGAAGAAGGAGCAACTCTGCTTTGGATTAAATATTTAATACTCCTTCCAAAGGGGCACCACCAGCTTCACCTTAGCCAAAATGATGTGGGTTTACTCTTTTCCACACACTAAACTCACTCTAAACATTCAACCTATTGTGGTTTTTGGTTCAGTTGTCTAAATATAGGATTTGATGTCAATTTAGATGTCTGAGTCGCCTGCTGTTCTGTAGCCATATCTGATAGCTTTTTTTGGTGATGCTAGAGACCCTTGGACATCTCAAAAGCAACTCAATGTCTATGTGTAAGCAACTAAAGTTTTCTGTTCCTGTATATTTAGGAAGTCCCAGAATCATCATAATCTTATTTGGAAACCTCTCTGTAGAGTGAACTGCCTTAAATATTATTTATCTTAAAAAGTAGCATTGTACTAACAAACATCTGTGTTTAAATATGTGGTAGCTGAGGAATGACTCAGACAGAGGCTTGGAACATATTGTCTTCATTTTGATATTCTGATTCACTGTTTAGAATAATGTTATTGGCCATATTATATAGCTAGCAAGAAAAAGTTTAGGTTTTATGTCTTCTTTATGGTTTTAGAAAATGTTCTTGAGAGAAAATGTTGTGTGGTTGTCAAATGAATTCAGGTTTGTTTTACATACTCGTGGTGTTGCAGTTTTTGGCCACTATCTTCATCTGATGAAGATGCTCGATGGGTAAGCAAAGGTCATCTACAGACCTGATATTAAATTAAGGAAGGGCACACCAATTTTATTGCAGTGGCCAACTCATGGCTATACTGGTACATGTTGTTTGGTATCTTATAAAAATATATGCCTGTAAGGGCAAATCTCCAGCCTCGTAGGTCTTCAAGAATAGCATAATTCAGCTGACTGTTGTGGAGGTAGGAAAGTCCTGATTCTGCTTGTAAGGGTCAGATTTATGTTATCCTATTCAGATGCGTGACAGGTTGTTATGAAGATTCTCCTATCCGTTGATGTGATATATTGCCTTGTTAAATTGATGTTTAAGAGATAATTGAGCTATTTTGAAACTTATGAATACAGCGCTGGAGAATTATTTTTACATTTCATGGTGACGACTATACAGATGAAAATCTGAAAAAGCATTCTGGAGTGGATGAAGGATTTGGAGCTATTTTCAGTGCATTAACCCAGTACATAAATATACCATTTTTGGCCAGCATTAGACAACCCAGGATGTTCATTCACTATGAAACATCTTTTCTTTTTTTGCTTACAGATGTTCAGAACAATTCTGTGTTTATCTGTATATTCATAAGCTTTTTGAAATCTGCATAGCTCAAGTGGCACTGAAATCAGAAGGGAAAAAACTCTGCTGTTGTTATTCATAAACCGGTTGTGTACAATTACCATATAAAATCTGCAACTAAAGATGATTTTCTTAAAAACACGACAGTTTGTAGGCTTATAGTTCAAGCTGTTAACATTTAAGCAGGTCATTTTATATTTTGTTGCTTTTTTTTATCTTCAATCACTGTAATGTTAGAAAAGTAGATAAATCTGCCATTTTAATAGCTTATTATTTGTTACAAGGCTTAGTGAACGTAACGGTATATTTATTTAGTTAACCCTCTTTATAATCTAGTCGATTCTTAGCACTTTCCATAAGCATATTATCTTGTATATAATTTTAAATTCTTAATAGTTAATGCAGTATAAAAGCATGCTACATGGACTTAGTCTCCATGGTGTTACATGCAATATTTTATTGTGCAATTGTTTCATATTCCATAACGAGCAGACCCATCTTTTATTTTATGTATTTATTTATTTTTCCTGAGGCATGCTATTGCTTTTTGCAGAGCAATTAGTCTTTTTAGTAATGGGGGGAAGGAGTGTTTTTAAGAGAGGTTATATACAACATACCCTTCCTGTGAAAGCCCTTTCGAGGGAGGTGATCCTGCCCCTCTACTCAGCCCTGGTGAGGCCACATCTGGAGTATTGTGTGCAGTTCTGGGCTCCACAGTACAAGAGGGATGTGGAGCTGCTGGAGAGAGTCCAGCGCAGGGCCACAAGGATGATCAGGGGCCTGGAACATCTGCCCTATGAGGAGAGGCTGAGGGAGCTGGGCCTGTTCAGCCTGGAGAAGAGAAGGCTGAGAGGGGACCTGAGCAGTGTCTAGAAGTACCTCAAGGGAGGCAGTGAGGAGGATGGTGCTGGCCTCTCTTCACTGGTGGCCACCAACAGAACTAGAGGTCATGGGCACAAATTGAAGCATCAGAAGTTCCACAGAAACTTAAGGGAAAATTTTTTAACAGTGAGGGTGACAGAGCCCTGGAACAGGCTGCCCAGAGAGGTTGTGGAGTCTCCTTCTCTGGAGATCTCCCAAACCCGCTTGGGCGCAGTCCTGTGCCACGTGCTCTAGGTGACCCTGCGTGTGCAGGGGGTTGGACTGGGTGATCTCTAGAGGTCCCTTCCAACCTTGAGCATTCTG